AAGATAAAAGAAAGAAAAAACATTAAATAATCAATAAGTTTTACTAAAATATATAAAAAGACAAATAAAGAACGAAGGAACTGTGAAAAATGCTATTTGCTGGGAGTAGGAATGAAGAAAATATTATGAAACGCCAGGATGATGCAACAACGGGGATATTGCACAAAAATTGATATTTGATAAAAAGTGAATGAAATAATTACATTTGAAAATCGATATTTAATTGAACTTTATATGGTTTTAAACTTTCAGAAAAAAATAGATAAAAAATTTAGTAAAATGATTTATAATTGATTAATAGCATTTGCAGAAAGTTGTTTCACATTGGTTGCGCTCAAAACTATATTTACAACAAGGAAGAAAAAAAGAACACTTTTTTTTTTCTTTTTATTAAGTCATCAATGGCGAAAAATCAATTATTTAATCGCCTAGAACAACAAATGTATAAATATGTATATATATAGATATATGTATGATACCTTTCTGACCTTTTAATTCCTTCCATTTCATAGTTATTTTTATTCCAAAAGAGAGAGAGAGAAAGAAAGGGAGAAGTATAATGAAATTGTTGCGCTGGAGAATTTTGGAAATGAAAAACGAGATCCTAACTTAATAATCATTACTATGGCATTTAAATATCATTCCGTGTTTTGATGACCAATCAACAATAAAATATAGCTATTTGAAGGTTTTTTTCAACTATAACCCTGGTTACCTATGACATAATTCCTGCCCTATTTTAAAAGGTATTAGATGGAATAAAATGTTGCTGAGCAGAAGTCTTCTTATGACCTGTCTGATTTCCAATATTACCGGCCTGATTTTCGATATCAGTATCAAATTGTTGTTCTGTAGCATCCATCTCTTCATCCTTTGTATCATTTTCAGCAGCGTCAACAATTTCACCTTTCAAATCACCATCATCAGGTTTTGGTAATTCTAGTTCACGTATATTCAGGATTTGTGGTGTAGCTGATACTGGTGCTGAACCTAAAAATGACGAAAAGAAAAATAGCTGAATAGCTAGTTAGGTAAAGAAAATATTTTTCATCTTAAATTTAGATGAAGGAATTTAAATATATAAGAGAGATGATTACCTAATAATGAATGACTCATGACCTGCTTCATTTGCTCATAGATATGGTTACCTGATACTGCTTGAGTCATAATCTGGGTCATTTGCTGACTCAAAAGATTTTGGGCAACGACATCAGCCATAAAATTTCCACCGGGCAAACTTGGATTCGACATCGTCCCTAAAAGTGTTACTGTGAAAGTGTGATTTTGTGATAATAAATAATTGAAATAAATTTGGAAAAATTCTAAACAAATGTTTCAAATTCCAGCTATAATAACGAACCATAATTATAACCCGAACAAAATGTACTTGTCATATTCGAAATAGTTCCAGCCGGTAAACCAAATTCAATCTCTTTTTGTCGTTCACTGATTCTAGCAACTAATTTCATAGCCCAAGTCAGTTTGAGCTTAATCTGACCACCGTGTTCTTCCAAAAGACCAGGAGCCTTTTCCATAATATAAGCCCGAGCGATTGCAAGTGCCTGTGATGCGGTCAAATGACCTCGTGGATCGGACTGCTTAATCTGCAAGCTTTACTTACATGAGATACAATAGATAATTTTCAAATATCAATTAAAAATTACAATAGAATGAGAATTTTCGTCATCAGTTGATGAAATCGATGTAACAGTTACCTGAACCATGTAGTCAACTAATTCGGCATCAAGTTCATCCCCAATTAACTTCGGACGCCCTCGGCCACGTCCTCGTAAGAAACCCGGACTACCGGTGCTATGTGCCGGATTTGGTTTTGAGTGTTGTTCCGAAGACTGCAAGAAAGGAACCGCATAAAATTCAAAAAAAGAAAAAAGAAGCAAAAAAATAATCAAGCGTTTTATGTGCGCAGAAGAGATGATATGCGCACCATTTAATAAATACTGGTAATATCAAAAAAAAGGATGAAAGCAGTGAAAAAAATCACAATAATGAATTAAGAAATCCTAATAGGCGGCATAAATAATCAGTAAATTAATTCCATAAAAAAAAATTTTGTTTTAGAATGATCAAATTAGGAAATCCGAATTAAGTGCTTACCTTAGAAGTACCATTTGAATTGGAAAATTTCACGGCACTTGGAACTGGGCCATTTTGGCAATCACCATTCGTGCTATCCAGATCGTCACCTGAGGTCGTACCTGGGGAAGCAGCATTTGCCAAAGGCATCATCTGCGGTGCAATCGCAATTGCTGCAAATATCTAATTAAAAGTTTTAACCCAGACACTTCTTCTTTTCTTCAAGAATTCACTCACTTTTTTTCTGATATTTCAACTACACAGCACATTACGATAACAAGAAATTACCAATAATATGAAGCTTGTCATAAGCTACCATGATGTAAACAATGGAAATAAGTAAAAACTATCACGAATTTTCAAGGATTTACCAGATGGCTTCAGTTTATATTCTTTCCGATGATAATAGGCAGCAACTGGAGTAGGAATACCAAATTTTCGAGCGGCTGCACTGGGACCATGCGCTTCTGCATATTCTGCAACCGCTTTCTTCTCTTCCGGTGAACAGTATTTCGACCGTCGTCCGCTACTGTTTGTGTTCTGATGAACTAAACATGAACGTTTTGTAACTATCAAAGTTGATTTGCATAAACCGTCGACAATCAAACAACTAACAGATAAGTAAAGTAAAGTAAATCGTTTCCAACAGATAACTTATTCCCTCACCCTTGAAGAAAGAGTAATGCCATAAACAACCAAACCAAATAGACTTGTACTTTACAATGACAACAGAAAGGTAGTTCAGCCAAATTTCGAAAAAAAAAAATCGACCTATTTCCATCAGAAAGAAAATTTCCTGACATAAAATGATCTTGAAATCGGACAAACATTTTACCTTTATTTGAAGCATTCCCACTAAGTGGTTTCGTAAATGAAGTTCCAGCCGCAGCAGCGGCAAGGCCAAATGCCGCGGGTAAGCCCGCCGTAGCGGCAGCTGCAGCTGCCGCAACCTGAGCACCATTAAGAGGAAGTCCGGTTTGCGTAAAAATTTGTGACAGCAATGCCTCACAATCATTCATTGAAGGTACGTTTGAAATTGCTTGAATATTTCCCGCTGTCACAGCTCCCACTGATGTTGGTGAAGTTTTGGACATCTGTAATTATGAATCTGTATAAGTAATGTGATAGAAGTGAGAAATTCCATGAGAATCGAAATTAACTTCAATTACTTATCACTTGTGATAATAAAACTTGCTGCTCATCAGTAAATATTACCGATCAAATGTTCAAGATATGTTAATCCCCGATTTTTGAGAATTAACATTTTAGTAACGAAATTCTACTCGGACAGGAAAACAATTGCACAGTTAATTAATAAGTTGGGAAAAAAAATAAATTGGGAAAGTAACCTCAGTTTTCACTGGTCGTTTCTCGATAAAACCATTTTGTGCCACATTCGTTGATTTATTATTATCAATAATTTTATTTGGTGATAACTGTATTGATGCACCATCCTTTAATAATTTGAACATTTCGACCTGAGTTTGATAGTATGGCTTGCAAATACCGCACTGGCAAGATGGCACATGAAGAGCATTCAACAAAAGTGTAACCTGAAACTAGTTAAGCAATAATGCAATAATATATTTCATTCAATTCCTCCAATTCTTTATTGTTTTTTAAAAATTACAATCAATACAATAGTTACTGTGCATTAATCAATTAAGAAATTAAAGTAGTCAAAAGGTAGATTACCTGATGGGAGAGATATGTCATTTGTATAGCTAAATCGTTAACTTGTTGTTTCAACAAATCTTGACTTTGGTTATTTTTCTTATCTTGTCCTGATCGACCTTTAAAGCTTCGTCTTGTCGTTTCTTCGCCATCCATCTGTTCATCCTCATTTCCTCTGCAAATAAGGTTATTGTGGTGGCAAAATGTCGTTTCAATCTTATGTCCTTCGTATTATTCATTCCGTATATCTTACTGTCATAATGAATCCGAAATATCATTTAATATATTGTATTTTATAATTAATTTATTTCCCTTCCTTTTTACTGCTTTCATTCATTACAAAAAGCACAACCATGCAAAATATAAATTTCTTATTTTGTATTAAATTTTTTGTGATCAGTGCTTTTTTTGAATATATTCCTCTCTCTCTCTCTCTCTCTCTCTCT